CCTGTAATCCCAGCACTCTGGGAGGCCCACATTGGTGGATCGCTTAAGCCTAGGAGTTTGACACCAGCCTGGCAACACAACAAAACCCTGCCAGTACAAGAAATCCAGAAGAAACTAGCCAGGTGCGATGGCATGTTCCTGTAGTCCCAGCTACTTGGGAAGCTGTGGTGGCAGGATCACCTGAGCCTGGGGAGGTAGGAGGATCATGTGAGCCTGGGGAGGTCGAGGCTGCAGTGAGCAGAGATTGTGCCACTGCACTTCAGCCTGGAAGACAGAGTAAACTCTGTCTCAAAAAAAAAAAAAGAAGAAGAAAAGGAAAAAAAAAATGAGAAAGTAGCTGTCTTGTGAGGTGAGGAGCACAAGACAACTTTCTGAGGTGCTGGAAATGTTCTATATCTTGATTTGGGTGGTGGTTACACAGGTGTATACATTTGTCAAAACTCATCAAACCGTAACAGAATCTTTGCATATTACTGCATGTAAATTATACCTTAATTTAAAAATATTTTTAAAAAATCATCCAAAATGAGAGGATCGCTGGAGCCCAGGAGTTCGAGACCAGCCCAGGCAAACGTGGTGAAATCTCATCTGTACAAAAAATACAAAAATTAGCCTGGAGGTGTAGTCTCCGCTACATGGGAGGCTGAGGTGGGGGGATTGCTTAGGCCCAGGAGATCAAGGTTGCAGTGAACTGTGATTGCACCACTGTACTCCAGCCTTGGCAACAAAGTGAGACCCTGTCTTAAAAATTCACAAGAAAAACATTAAAAATACAGATTCCTAGGCTCCACACCACCTGGGGGTTCTGATTGAGTATGTCCAGGCTGGGCCTGGGAGTCTGAATGTGTTTGTTTCTTTGTTTGTTTTTAAGTATCCCAGGCAATTCTGATGCTTGACCACAGTTAGGGCAGCCCACCTGCCTCCCTCACCATTCCCTCCGCACTCTTTTGTTTTAAATGGTTTATTATTTGTATGTTGGTTTTTTCCAAGAGGAAGTTGGTTGGCGACAGCAAGCTACAGCTTTAGAAAGAGAACAGCAATTCCTCAGTCTCTCTGCTTTCCTTCTCATACCCCTGACTCCCACCCTTGGCAGCAGCCTCTGCCCAGGTTTCCAAACAAAGCCTCTGACCAGGTGAGGCAGGAAGGGAAACTCTGCAGCCCCGTCCAGGACAGGCATAACTCACTTAGAGACACTAGAGCTGTATGCTTCAGGGAGGTCAAAGCCAGCAAGTTAATGGCCTGTGTACCTGTTAAATGGCATGTTCAGGCCTTCAACATCATGTTTACAGAAAGAGTTCAGGGCAAGACTCACTGGTACAGAAAATGCTTTGTGCCCTTCCTGATACTGGCTTGGTGACTCTCCGTCTCCAGGACCCCAGTTCTGTTCCTCACTTACCATCAGGGGTCTCCTGGGCTCCAGGCTTGACTGGCTTCTCCCTCACTATCCCTAAACTCAGTATGATCCTATTCCTCTACCTGCTGCCCTCAGGAGAAAGCCCAAGCCCACTTACACAACATTCAAGGCCCTCCAGCTGGACACAGTGGCTCACACCTATAATCAACACTTTGGGATGCTGAGACGCGAGGAGATTGCCTGAGCCCAGGAGCTTAAGACCAGCCTGGGCAACTTAGTAAGACCCTGTCTCTATTTTTATATATAAAAAATAAAAAGACCCCCCCACCATCTGGCTCCTATTCCTCTCTCCAGCCAGGATGCGAAGAACCTGTTCTACCAACATGCTTGGCTATTTTATGCCACGGTGCCCTTGTAGCTGCTCTGCTCCCTGTTGAGAATGCCATCCCATCCTGTTTCTCTATCCACAGACAATGGCAACTCCGAGACGGCGTCCTCTAAGAAGCAAAAGTGCCTCCTGCCTACTACCCCACCCTCACTGCACACTCAGCCGCTCCTTGGGTCTTCTTCATTGTACCCCATGGGTGGTAATTTAGGCCACTGCAGCTACCACATGCTTCTATCTCTGGGACAGGAGCTCCTAGAAAGCCAACACTCTGCCTGAACCCAGTGCCGACCTTAACCAAGGTCTATTAACCAACTAAATGAGGCATATTAAAAAAGAGCTCTCGTTCTCACTTGAAGACTTCCCTAGGCATTTGCAAATCCACAGCTCCTCCCCACAACCCATAAATTCAAACGACCGCTCTGGCCAAGCTGGCAAACACAGCCCCAAAGAGATGCAGCCCCAAATAATCTGACTTGCTCTTGACCTTCTGCAGAAGTGGGGGATCTGCATGTACCTGCCCGAGTGGCCCTGGGGTTCCATGCCAACCCCAATTCCCAGGCAGACGCCCCCTGGCTGCAGCTGAGCTGCATTTGGGGAGCCCTTATAACTTATTTCCCAGCTCTTTTCTATATACGGGAATGTGTTCAATGACTCACAAGTGTCTTATCATTCAGGACCTTTGGAAAGACTTTCAGAAGTACAGCTCCCAAATCCTTTGACAAACTGACAGGCAGACAAGTTCAGGTTAGAAAACATAGTACCCAGAGCCTGGACTGCCTCGTGGAGGGCTGACCCCCACAGCAGGATGAGTAGCAGGGCTTGGGGGAAGGCACAAAGAAGGGAGAATGAGCAACTAGGGACAGAGGCAAGGTGCAAATGGGTCCCCTACGCTCACTCTCCTGCCTGAGGACTGGGGCACCTTTGTCCCTCATTTTCCCCAGGCCCCAGTTCAATTTCAACTCCCCAGGATATCAGTGACCAAAGCCCCATGGGGCCAAAACTCACAGCTGAGCTAGGGAAAGCCTTTTGAAACTGAATTTTGTCTACTCAAGGCAAAGCCTCTTAGGTGGCTCTCAGTTTGTCCATCTGTAAAATGGGTACTGTTCACCAGGCCTCCGGACTCTGCAAAGCAGATGTGGCCCAATCACCACGGGTTGAGGTGATGGGAATGAGATGGGGGAGGATGATTGCAGCTGAGACATGGGTTAGTACAAGGGTGTCCCTAGAGGACAAAGGCTCCAGAATGCACCTTGGCCCTTGCCATACACCACAGTGACCCAGGACCTCGTGACACCCTCTAATCAGCAGTTCTACAGCCGAGACCAGCTTTACAGCTTACCACAAGGACCTCAATCCCCTTTACAGCTGAGGCCGGCTTTGCAGCTTACCATCTCCCTCAATCCCCTCAAGGACGTAGTGAGGCCGGCACTGGCGTCCTTGCTGCCCAGACAGCCAAGCTGAGGCTCAAAGAAACCAATGGAATCAACCAAGGTCACCCGCCCATTAAAACACAGCACAGGACTTAAATCAGTTCCCTGGGGACAAGCTCCTACCTCTGGTCCCTGGTTTGCTCTATAACCAGTCTGCCCCACCCATTTTACAGGTAAGGAAACTGAGGCCAAAAAAAGGTTACCCAAGGTCAACTAGGGGCTGAGCCAGGCCTAACACCTCCCACCATTCTACCAATCCCACCCTATTGGGGGTTCTTAGCCATGCCAGGCCCTCTCCAACATCTCTCCAAAACCATCTTAATGAAATTCCTCCCCCCACCACCTCATGTCCACCCCACACTCCCTGGGTGACTCCCTGGTCGAGAGGGAGGCAGGTGGTTGCTAAGCACTCACCCGTTCTCTCTCTCATAAAAATAAACTCCTTCTGGCTAGGAGACTCTGGACAAGATCCCTTTCCTTGTAGCCAACAAAAAATTACAAAGAAATTTTAAAAAGATCTCCTCGGTAACACTTATTTGAACGTCAGCTGTGCAAAAGCAGGAGCCAATTTATTGAGGTCCAAATGGAGCCACGCGCCACTAAACCTCAGCCCGAAGACCCACCATTCAAGTGTCTGGGCAGTTACTGAGCTGATTTATTTCCCCAGGCAGGAAATGGGGGCCCAGGCTGCCTCCCAAGCTTTTGGGGCTGGTCTTGGGGAGGCCAGGATCTGGCAAAGGCCCAGCAGTGACCGAAATAGCCAGGCCAGTGGCCCTGCCCGGCACACACCTCCCTGCCTGGTAGAGCCGCCCACAGGTCTCCTCTCCAGTCCAGGCTGAAGTCCAGGCTGAAGCTTTGGGGCTGTAGGAGGAGGTCCCTGGAATTCTCTCTGTGTGGCTTCCCCAGTGAGAGGGGGACAAGGATCTCCTGCTTAAAAGAGGAACCCACAGAAGAAAGGGAAATAGTCTGGAGGAGGAAGTGTCCTTCTGGCCCTGCCGGCTGTCCGCTACCCCCTGGCTGCCCCTCCGGGTCTTGGTCCCACTACTCAGGACTGCTGGGCACTGGCACTGCCACCTGCACGCCACCTGGGTAGCACCTATGGAGCCATGCTGCCCTATCACCTCTCTTCAGTGCCTGACCTGGAGATCCAGCTCTGGCTATTTGACCCTCTAGGTACTGGGGATACCCTCTTGGGTACAGCCAAGGACACATAAGTGCCCACAACCAGGGACCTGGAGACACAATCACACTCAGGGACATGCACGTGCACACAGCCAGGGCCTGGAAGACTCAGCCCCCCTATACACAGATTCACGCAGACACAAACGGGGACACACAAGAGCACACATCCAAAGACACAGCACACTCAGGTATCTCTCACACACACTCACACACACACACACAAACACACACACACAGTCCAGCACACAGAGAACAGCAAACATGCACCGGGACACACATGTGCACGCTGCCAGGGATGCGGTGAAACAGCCACCCTCAGAAACACACAGACATAGAGACACAGAGGCCACATGTAGGCATCCAGACGGAGACAGACACACAGACATACCACACACAACACACATGCGCACACACACACACCTGCCGCCCGCACCAGAAGCCGAAGCCCTTTCGCCAAGGAAACAATAACAGCCCCGCCAGGGGGACTGAGCAGGCGACCCTCTGTCCCTTCCGCGGTGGTGAAAGGGGCGCCGGATGGGGGCACGCGGAGGGGAGGAGGCCAGGACTGCGGCGACGCCGGGATGGGGAGGGACTGCAGACGGCGGGCAGCGCCGGCTCCGCGCCCGGCTCCCCGTTCCTCAGGTACCTGGGGTGGCTGCGGCGCCGCCCGCGCTCAGCTCGGCTGCGCCGGGTTCCGCCGGCCGGGGTCTGCCTGCCCGCTCGCTCTCTGGCCCGCGGGGTGAACGCTGCGCACTCCCTCCCGGCGCGGCTCGGCCTCTGGGCTCGCAGTCCTTTGGGCTCGGCGCTGGCGGCGGCGCGAAGGAAGCGGTAATTTATAAGCGGCTTCTTCCTGACCTCGCGTGTCTGTTGTCTGAGCAGGCAGCTCTCAGCATCACCCATCCTGCTGGGTGGAAAAATACCAGCTCGGCCGGGCCGGGGGCGGGGCCGGGGCGGGGCCTGGGCGTCCAGCCCCGCCCCAAGTGCGGACGCGCGCCCGCGCGCGCGCGGACACACACACACACGCACACACACACACACACACTCACACACACACACACACACACACACGCACGCGCGCGCACACACGCACGCGCGCATGGGCTCGGACACACAAAGAACCGGGCTCGCCTAGCGCGCGCGCACACCCTCATGCAGCGCGGCGGACCCTTGTTGCCAGGTGCGGCAGCCCGCCCTGGGCTCCTCCTGCCTGCGGAAGAAGAGCAGTACAGACCCAACCCGACCCGCCTCGCCTCCACCCCGCCTTCGCAGCAGCCTCCAAACCCCACTGCTTGCCTCCTCGCCAGGCTCCTAGAATGAGGCCCAGGGCTCCTGGAGCAGCCAGGTGCAAACCAGACCGGGCTCGCACTCCACTGTCCACGTTCTGGGAGACTCGGTATGCCCCTCCGAAAAGTGGGCACGATCACCGAGCCCTCCCCAGCGGCGGGAGGGCGGCCTGAGCTTTGGTGTGAACCCAGGTACAGAGCTCCAGAATCCTGGCCTTGCCATGGCCGCGTGACCCTGGGCAAGTGATTCATACTTTCTGTGCCTCGGTGTCCTCATCTAGAAAATGGTAAGGAAAATAGGCGCTTGTCTCCTCTGGCTGTTATGAGGATCCAAGGTTAACAGCGCAGAGAGCTCGGAACGCACCCGGCATCTAGGAAGTGCCAAGCCAGTGTCAGCTAATGTGACTATTTTTAAATGGAGATGGGGAGTGTGCCATTATTCTTGTCCTTATTTGAATGAACGGGCCCTCAGGGACCATTTTCCACGGCCCTGCCCTGGCAGCATGAGAGGGAAACGCTGTGAGAACCCCAAACCCCAGCTTTCTCCTTTCCCCTCTTTCTCCCTCTGCACCTAGAAGGTGGGAGGAGAGAGCCGGATCTTCCACCATTTACACGGAGAACAAAAGAAGAAATACCAGCCGGGCACGGTGGCTCACGCCTGTAATCCCAGGCCATGACAGGTGGATCATCTGAGGTCAGGAGTTCGAAACCAGCCTGGCCAACATGGCGTAAACCCCATCTCTACTAAAAGTACAAAAATTAGCCAGGCGTGGTGGCGGGTGCCTGTAATCCCAGCTACTCAGGAGGCTGGCGCAGGAGAATTGCTTGAACTCAGGATGCAGAGGTTGCAGTGAGCCGAGATCACACCACTGCACTCCAGCCTTGGTGACTAGAGTGAGACTTCGTCTCAAAAAAAAGGAAGAAGAAATACCACACAGGCCGGGCCAAGAGCCGCCCCCACTCAGGCCAGGACCCCCACCTGGAAGGGCTCTGCAGCTGCTTTCTCTGTGCAGCCCTAGGATGCTAAGGAGCATCCCAAAGTGACACTGTCTCTCCCTGGTGTCCTCCTGCAGGCCCCTGCTGCTGTGCTGCAACCTGACCTTCCAGCAGACGCTTCTCACACTGGCTCCAGCCAAGCCAGACCCAGACCACTGGGCACATGCCCTTCCTTGCCTGCCTCTGGCACCCTTCCCCACCCTTCTCTGCTGGCCTAGGTGTGTGCCCCTTCTTCCAGGAAGCACCTGGGGACCAGTAGTGCCTCTCGGGTCCCAGTGGCCCATGTGACATCTGCTTCTGGCCACTTGAGCACTCTCCTTTGAGTTCAGGGTCACTGTACCCTTTTATAGGTGAGAAAACGGAAGCTGAGGAAGAGGAGTGACTGGGTTTCCCATATCCTCTGCTTCAGATGTGAAGTTCCCTCATGAGCTGCAGGAACAGACGGCAAGCAAAAACTCCTTAGACGCTCTGTGCATGTGTGGTCACACAGGATGCAAAGGCTGAGGGAAAAGGGGCAGTTCCTAGCTCGGGGAGGGGACTCTGGGGTTGAGATTGGAAACAAAAAGAGGCTTTGACTAAGCCAAGAGCAGTGAAGCTGGTGGGAGAGGAAGCAAGTTCTAGTAGAGGCGCCTGCTGTGGCAGAGGCCTGAGAACAAGGTTGTCGGTGGTAGGGCTGGGTTTGAGGGTCTGAGAGAGTGAGCAAGGGAGGCAAGAGGAGCTGTGTGTTCAGAACTGCAATCTGGAAAGGCCCATGGGATCCTTTGACCTCCAGGTAGACCAGCAGAGCCTTGTGCAGGCAGTGCTGGCGCAGGACACACCAGTGAACCATCTATCCAGTTACCAGCTCCATGAGGGATGGGATCTGTTCCTTCTGCCCCCATTGAATCCTGGAATCTATCATAGGCCTGGCACTCATTAGGTACTCAATAAGTGTTTGCTGCATTTTAATTTAATTTTATTTATTTATTTTGAGACGGAGTCTCACTCTGTTGCCCAGGCTGGAGTGCAGTGGTGTGATCTCGGCTCACTGCAACCTCTACCTTCCGGGTTCAAGCAACTCTCCTGCCTCAGCCTCCTGAGTAGCTGGGATTACAGGTCACCTGGCTAATTTTTGTATTTTTAGTAGAGACGGGGTTTCACCATGTTGGTCAGGCTGGTCTTGAACTCCTGACCTCGTGATCTACCTACCTTGGCCTCCCAAAGTGCTGGTATTACAGGCGTGAGCCACTGCGCCCGGCCTGATGCATTTATTTTAACATACTTTTCTTTGGCACTTAACTATATACTGTGCACAGTTAAGTGCATTTTAATATAAGTTAACCCTTTTCATCCTCACAACACCCCTATGAGATTGGTACGATTACTTCTTCCATTTTATGGAAGGTAAAACTGAGCCACAGAGCAGTTAAGTAAGTTGCCCAAGGTCACTCAGCAGGCAAATAGTAGAGCTGTAATTCAAACCTAGGCCACTTGGCTCCAATCAAGAGGTTACAATCTTGAATGAGTGGACTGTGGGTGGTGATTGCCAGACAAAAAACCCAGCCCCAAAGAAAGAAAGGAGGAGGTAAGAAGAGCTCCAACCTCAGCCCCAGGGAAAGGTGGCAGATGAGGTGGAAAAGGGATGGTCGGACTGGGGATGGGGACCGAGAGGAGCCGGGGCCAAAGCTAGGGGCAGGCACAGGTTGGACAGAGCTCAGAGCAGGGGCCACAGACCCTCACTCCACATCAGCTCTATGGCTTCCCAGCTTTGTGGCTAGGGCCTGCCAGCCTACTCTCTGAGCCTCAGTTTCCTCATTGTAATATGAGATAAAATAAGACCCTGCCTCACTGAGCCATTTTGAGGAGAGAGGTCTCGAACTGGGGCCTTAAACCTAATCCAGCTCCCAGGTGTACTTCTTTGGCCATCACTGAGCTTTAATGTGTTTGGAGTTAATTTCTGTGAATAAAAACTTGGAGATTTCACATTTAAAAACTCTGGCCAGCCTGGGCAACAAAGTAAGATTCCATATCTACGAAAATTTATTTTCTTTTTTTTTTTGAGATGCAGTTTTTGCTCTTGTTGACCAGGCTGGAGTGCAGTGGCATGATCTCAGTTCACTGCAATCTCTGCCTTTTGGTTTCAAGCAATTCTCCTACGTCAGCCTCCCGAGCAGCTGGGATTACAGGTGCCCGCCACCACACCCAACTAATTGTTGTATTTTTAGTAGAGACCAGGTTTCACCATGTTGGCCAGGCTGGTCTTGAAATCCTGACCTTGTGATCCGCCCTCCTTGGCATCCCAAAGCCGAGTATGGTGGAGCATGCTTGTGGTCCCAGCTACTTGGGAGGCTGAGGCAAGGGGATCACTTGAGCCCAGTGGGTCAAGGCTGCAGTAAGCTATGATTACACCACTGCACTCCAGCCCAGATGAGAGAGCAAGACCCTGTCTCCAAACAACAATGGCAACAATGACAAAATCTGAATGCCTGGTTTCTCTTGAAATGTGGCAAAATGGGGCCACCCCACCTGGGCCCATTACCCAACTGTCTACAATGTCCTGGAGCTGAAGGGCATTAGCCACCCTCTTACATGAGGGCATGGGCTCCCCAGGGTGCCACAGTTCCCTCCTGGCTAGTTTGTTCCTTTCTGTCACCTGTGGGCCCCTGCAGGGGACTGCGTTTGAGACCCATGATACACTTTGTGCACCCTGCCCTCTCGAAGATAACTGAGCAACAGGGAAATGAAAAGCTTTGGCAACAAAGAGGGAGCTTCAGGGAAAGCCAGGCAGAGGTTCCCCTTAGAACAACAGACTAGGCTGAAATTCCACTGAGACTAATTCTTCTCATTTCAAGAATGAAAATCGATTGCCAGACAGAGCTCCTGGAGGACCGATTTTCAGACTGTAGTCTACAGCCGTCCACTTAAAAACAGTGAATGGGATTTTTCAAAGGCTACTTGATGATACTTTCTTCAGCAGCTCTCAAACGTAAAATAAAATTGATCCAAGACTTTGAACAAAACCTCTCATCCCTTTCTGGGGAAGAGTTTGTCTCATCTATCAGGCCACCAACAAGAGCTGTTGCGATGTCTGTGAGAGGTGCAGCCCACGCTGAGCCACCAGGCCAGCTCAGGGAGCCTGCTGGGGATCGAGGATCATCTGACCGCCTCTTACAACTCTCAGAACATCATCCTGGGAGTAGCCCCGAAGAGACTAAGGGTCAGTGGTGGGGCTGCTGAGTGGCTACCTCCCTGACCTGGCTGGCATCTCCTGGCACACTGCAGTGTGTCCACATCTCTGGATGTGTAGGCAGCTGCAGAGCCTTTGTCAGAGGATCTGGGCCTTCAGGGATTTGCTTCCTGCCCACCACCCTCCTCTTGCCTGCTTGCAAATCTCAGCTCCATCGCTCATGGGCTGTGTGACCTGGAGTGAATAATATAAGCTCTCTGTGCCTTGGTTTCTTGATTTGTACAGCCTGATTAATCGTAACCCTTCTGCTGCAGATTATTGTGTGGGGTGAGTGGAGATGGCTGATGTGAAGCATCGAGCCAGGTCCCTAGCACACGGACTCCCTCTGGAAAGCCGGAGCCCCTGTCCACCCCTGCCACCTGTGTGCTCCAGGCTTTCCTTCCTCCAGGCCTTCACCCTTGC